ATAATAAATAAGATCGATTATTTAATATATATAAGATCTTAGCGAATAAGTATAAAAGAGCGATATCTCTTAAATTACTTCGATTTTTAAAACTTAGTTTTACTATTAAATAGTATATATTATAAAAATATATCTTAAGCTTATAATCTACTAGTCGAAAAGATATAAGACTTTTTATACTTAGAATTTTTAACTTCTACTTCTTTTCTCTAAAAATTTATATCTTTATAATCTATTTATAGAATTTTTTAATTCTTAAAGCCCTATAACGAGGCTAGTCTGTTTTATACGGGACAATCTTAAAATACGGTAATTTATGTATAAAATATCGAGTGGGATTAGAAATATCCCATACCTTTTGGGATGGTATCTCGAAAATTGCTCAAATCCCATACCAAATCCCATACCTTTCCGGCCTCTACTTATCTACTCTTATTTAATAGAGCGTATATAGGAGTAGATATGAAGAGTAGAGCTCTAGGAATAAAGTCACTTTGGAATGAATGCCGAACTACTCTACTTTGTGTCAAAACGGTACTTGATTGGATGGGATTGACTTACACGAGCCTAGAATTGAATAACTTTCTTCCTCAATGGCCTGGTGATTCAAGATAGCTTTGACATTCAATTCAAGTCATGCCACCAGTCTCTGTCATAACGCCAGCGCTGCTTGCTTCAATTCGAGGACAACCGCATCTCCCACGTCATGCATGGTATTTTTTGACCGGCGTCACATTGTCGGTATTGAATTTGCCTAATGAAATTGCTACTGTTTTCAAGCACGCCATCGAAAAAGGGCCAGGTAGTTGTGACACTAAGCCAGGACATGATGAGCAGTTGGAAATTGCGCGGAAGATGAGGGAGGCATTGGTGAAGGCTGCCCCAATAGGTGGATTACCAAAAGTATCACGTCGCACGATGTTTTCAGTCTCTTGGGCTAGATGCTAATCACACCGTATACAAAGGCAATCAACGCTCTGTTCTCCTTGAAATCCGCAACTCCACCGTCACTTCTCGATGAACCACTGGGCTACTCTCCTACTGCTAGACCTTCGGATCTATACGATGTTCCTCAGTCAGCAGTCTTACACCGAGGGCAAAAGTTCTTCGACAAGGTTTACGGAAAGGTCTCCAAGCGTGTTATGTCTCAGATGGACAGAAGTGGGACAGAAGATCTGGGCATCACGGCTCGGTTGATGTACGGATACATATTGAGTAACACAAACATTCTGAGTGCTAGTGAGACAAGCTTCGTTCTTGTGGCAGGGCTGATACCCCAAGATGTGAAATGACCAGTATTTTTCCACGCTTCTTTCACTGACTGAGCGATAAGGTCCCAGCACAACTGAAAGGCCACATAAAAGGCTGCTTAAACCACGGTGCGAGTGTTGAAGAGGTCAAAGCAGTCCGGGAGGTGGTGATCAAGATATGCGAAGCATCAGGCATGCGTCAGCTTGACGATACTGTCCCTGGCGGTTGGGGATGGCGAGGCCCCGTGGCAAACTTATGATATGGTCATAGTTTCGAGTCCACGCACTCCCTGTTTGCTGTCAAATTGATATCCATTAAGCAGCTGCCAACGCATACACTTGATGCGGAGAGATGGACTTCAGAGCAGAAGGAGTCTCATCAGTCGCAGTTTGACATAGTCAATGTACAGATGCACAGACACACACAGCACGCTTCGCTCGCTTTAAGACCGTGGCTGCCTTGTGCTAGTGGGGTTTCCTGGATCTGCAACGCAGACTGTGTCCTGGAATGCAGACAAGTAGCTTGGCTTGGCTCGAACTAAAAAGGTGAGGTGATGTTCGAGGAATCCTTCAGCCTCGTTGATTTGAGACCAGGCGTGTTTAATAGTGGAGGGACCTTCCAGACGCATGAACATCATGTTTGGCGTTGGGCCCACGATGTCGGCAGTTGAAATGTTATAAGGTACCAGCAAAACGTTGTCAGGCCTCCAAATATCCTCTAGATTCTTTGACATCTGTCGACCGTGTGCCGCCAGTTGCCGTCGGACTCGCCGCCGTGGGTACGATGCATTGGTCAAGGATAGACGGGGCCACGGGTGCATCGGAATTAAAAGTGGAAGTAGAATACGCTGACAAGCTCGAAGATCGTTGCGAAAGTGTGGGGGTAGAGTGAAGAAGGAACTAGAGGGAGAGTGAATATCGAATGGATTGAAAGTAGTATGGAATAAAGATTCAAGACATGAGGGGTAGCCGGACAGACCGGTGCTAATGATAGAACTTTGCATCCGACACCCTGGATGATGAGAATAGCTTGTACGTTCCCAACGAATAAACGTATCAAACGTAACTGCAAACATAGAACGGCAGCCCCAGAAGGAAGCATATTGTTACTGATTTGCAACCAGCGACAGTAAGAAGGTAAAAAAACACACTTAGTCGCTCCGGTTCATAGAGTAGTATAATCTGCAAGGCTATACGGAGGTACCCACCTTAGCCCTACACATTTAGTGTGAATCGACCACGCGAGAGAGATCCTGATTATTCCCAAAAAGTTCTCGGCTCGTACCTTTTTGTGTTGTGTCACACTGTTACATTGTTAGATGCGGCGTTGATCAAGGAATGAGAGAATGGTGTGAAGTGCGGGAACACACTTCCTCGTTCCACTAATGATGGCTCTTCCTGTCTTGGTCTGGAGGTACGAAAGGTAGGGTATGTTCCACCGTTCCACCAAGATGATTTACGAAGCAAGAAACACGATTGAGCAAATCACAGTCCAGAAGTCCGTTCCACTTTTTAGCGGATGAAACGCGGCAACGATGATACCGTGCGTGCCACACCCTGAGGATCAGCCTCATATGTCGTTTCAACGGGTATTTCCTGTGGATCCTGCAGGACATTATTTGGAAATCAGAGTCCTAGAGACGTGTAATGTGTGGATACTGGGTACCCATTGGACCCGGGGAAGAGGACTCCCGCCTCACTCCGACAGGCATAGCGTCGATCAACCGTCTTTCCACGAGTCCACAGCACGTGGAGATGAAACATTTGGGCTCCAGCGAACCTCCTCCTCTTCCACGAGTCCTTCAGGGTTATGAATCCTTCGAAGCCAACGCATCTCCATCTTGACACTTATCTAACCGAGATTACTCATATGACTCTCAAGTACCTACCTACTAATTTTCTACGATCCAAGGAAAGTGCTGGGTTGGAATCCAGCATCTTGATGGTCAATCCTGCAATCGCTGATGGGTTGCCTAAGCCGTGCACGCACTTGCGCAGAAAGACAGTGGAGAACAAAGGTGCGCGGGGTCGCGAAGACAGAGTCGTTGGCATCAAATAAATGCTTCGTCTTACGCCTTCCGTCGCTGTCATGAGGCGCCTAGTTTAGCAGGTCGACTTTGGCGGAAAGGAGGCAGGATGATGACATATCTTTACAGGACAAACCGCATGAAGCTATGCGCATGGCCACATTGAGGCTTGGTACTTTGATAGGATTGGCCCGAAAAATTTTGATTTTGAATTTTTGAATGGCGGTGTCTGTTTGGTAACTTTGCTGCCAAAATTGCTCCTTCGGCGACTAACACAGCCCCGAAAGGCTTACTGCGATATGTCGACACCAGGCTTTACTGCTTTGAGAGTGGGCCCCCCTTCTAGACTGGATCACACGTTGAATGATTGGATGATTTTTTTACTCTACGTGACGATGATCATTGACTTCTACATTGACTATAGCTTTGCTTGTATCCCACTCTGCTGTCAAGCCCGAGCTACTAAGGTACTACCATGTATGAAGTTGTATGAATGATTTCCATCGTTTACGGAGTACACCGAAAGCCAATGACTTTGATTATAAAAGAGTAGTAGTGCACCTAGGCTTTCTAGTTCCACTTCGACCTCCACCATTGGAGATCCCAAAATAAAACACTTTAGCGAACGGAACAGGGGCCCCCCCGACTCGGGACTCAGCCTTCTCTTCCTAACTTCCTCTCTTCCAGGCCCTGCCAACGCTATCACGGCTTCTGACTTTTGATGCAGCTAGCGATGCGGGTAGGGTAAAAGCTATCTTGATCTTCCTCTCTGTTAGAAGTTAGAAAGTCGATGCGAAGCAAGGCTCCTCTGCCACTTCACCGCTTCTCGGCCGCTCATCATCCTCTTCCCAATCAACAGGCACCATTATTTCACCGCGAGGGTGAGTGAGCCTGCGCAGTCGACTATCTATGCAAGCAAGTCTATTTTTCGAATTCGCGATCGAATTCGGCTTTCAAGTCTCCACGTTGTACACACGCTCTCAGGAACCACATGTGGCTATTCATACATCATCGTACATAGCTCCTTGTCCTCTAAGAAGATGACTCCGGCGCTGAGTAATATCGTGCCTTGATTGAAATGTTTAGCTTCGGAGCTTTGCCCCCAAATTGCCATGCCCTTCTTCTCGGGAATCATCTGTAAGGCTGGCTCCCTGAGCTACCATCTTCCTGAATATGCAGCTAACAAACTAATGCCCTTTTTCTCTTTTCCAAAATGTCACCTTGCCCTGCACTGCACTGCTGCGCATCAGTTGGTTCGTTATGGCCGGCGCAACCACCACCCTCCCCCAGTCTATAAGCACAAGGCAGCCCCCAACGTGCCTGAATGTTGTTGATCCATCTCATCATCATCATCATCCAAATAATCTTTTCTCCTACTACCCTCGCTCTTCATCTCGATATTACCGAGAGCTGATCAGCATTTGTCCCCCCACTCGCGTTTCAGCGCCTTGATCGTCGTCTTACTTCCTTTCTCAAAACTTTTCATACACTTCCAGTAATCACCTTAATACTTTATTTAGTATTCATCACATTCCCCCGCTGTTGCTTAACTCTTCCCCTCCTTCGTCTCGAGTCCATTCTATATACTCTAGTGCAGGTATTGCTCTTCTCTAAATCTTTGCGTCAAATATACTCACGTGCCGCTAGCTCATTGAGCGGTACTTCTTTGCATACAACTACCTGCTACAGCTTACGCCTAAGGTCTCGACCGCTGGCTTGGGGAATGGCAAAGGTCTATAGCGGCGCCAGCGATTTCGTACTTTTTCCCCGAGATCAAGCATACATGGGCACTCTGGATCCCAGGCTGGGCGACAACTTCAGAAATATGCATTACCAGCCAAACGCTGTGAGCAACATGCATCAGTACGGGGATTTCTCTGGCGAAGCCAGCACATCCTACGAGCCATACCCACCAGTCTCCGCCTACTCCTCTGCCCCGTCGGCCTACTTCGGAGCACAAAACGTGCCGTATGAGACCCACAAAGGCAACATGGGACGGCTTCTGCGCCGGCAAACACCTTCAGGGTCTCCCTCGCCCTCAATCTCACAAGCCTTCGACCATCCGCCATCAACATTGTCATCTGCTTCGGGTGCCTCCGCCCAAAGCACAGCCTCATCAACTGATGGCTCGCCTTATGCAAGCGCGACGCATGTTCTGCCATATGAAGACAAATGGTCTGATTCACTTCATGGACTGGGCATTGCACCGGGGATCGTAAGCAGCGAAACTTTCAGTCAAGACTCATTCCCACCAGCGAACTTCGAAACCGATTTGATGCTGGAAGATAGCAAGTTTCCGAATTATGTTGGTGAGTGTGGAAAGAATTTTTCTCCGTTGTTTCCTCTCAGTCAGCCTTTTGCTTCGTCGGTATTTTCTGGTTTAGCGCCGCAAAAATTTGTACCCGCGTTTTCTTCTCGGCCATTAGCACTGGACACGACCACCGTTGCCAAAGACGTTACCATCGACTCGATCCTCGAAGAAGCCAACAGCAAAATCCGGAAATCCGTGCAGTTGATTTCACCGGTTTCCGCAGCGTCTCCAGCAGCTTCGCCGACATCTTTCACAAGCAAGCATCGGACCACCTCGCCTACTCAAAGAAAGAGCTCGTTCGCATCTCCTCTGATGCCAGCGCCTGCCGCATCTCGCTTTCCATCTCGTGCTACCTCGCCGCACGGTTCAGCGGACCACGTCTTCCTCGGACATCCAATCATCCCTTTGGATCATGTGAGAACACCACGAAGCCGGCAGCAGTCTCCGGAGCGTTGTCATCCCTGCGACCGGGCTACACCACCTCCAACTTCTCAGCGTCAAGCTCGTTATGGTCAATCTCAAAGTCCTTTCTTTGGTCAAAGTAGTGGCAGATTTGTTGCTCCGCTTGAGTCATCTTGTCGGTTTTCCTTACTGTCTCCCTTTCCTTCATTTCAAAACAATCTCGTGCCTTTTATTCGCTCTTCTTTCCGTCCACTTTAACCTTGGCCGCTCAAAACTGATTTCTCTGGTCTTTTTTAGATCCTTCACTCATCCAACAATTGGACACACCTATTACTCACAACACTACTACTGCACCTTACCCCAGTGCTATTCACGCGTTTCATCATCTACCATCGCAAATATTTCAGCCACCGTCGCCTGCTGCGTCGGAGACGTCTAGTCAAGACTCGCATCGACCAGGATCGGCCAGGTTCCGAAGTGGCACTACATCGCCCTACCTCCACACCACTTCTTACCAGCCGTACCCGCAAGGCTTGGACGCACGCAGATTCTCGATCGCGTCGAGTCCTTCTCGAAATTCCTTGGACAGTCCAGGATCCAATGGCTATGGTTTCGACGACGATGGTAAAGAGAGGACTCGCTGCCCGCATCCGGACTGCGGTAGACCATTCAAGGATCTAAAAGCGCATATGCTTACCCATCAATCAGAGAGACCTGAGAAGTGCCCAATCACGACTTGCACTTATCACCAAAAAGGGTTCGCTCGCAAGTACGACAAGAATCGCCACACCCTTACCCATTACAAAGGGAATATGGTCTGTGGGTTCTGCCCAGGATCCGGCTCAGCCTCGGAGAAGAGCTTCAATCGTGCAGACGTCTTCAAGCGCCACCTTACCTCTGTTCACGGCGTAGAACAGACGCCACCAAACAGCCGCAAGAAGAGTACAAATTCTTCCACGAACAAGAAGATGTCGACGCAAGCTGTTGACGCGACTGGCAAGTGTTCCACCTGCTCCGCAACGTTCAAGAACGCACAAGAATTCTATGAGCATTTGGACGATTGTGTTCTTCGCGTGGTGCAGCAGGAGGAACCCAGTGAGGCCATCAACGAGCAGCACCTCGGTGATGTAGCCAACGATGAAGCAGTCCGCGACACAATGGATCGCCACATGATTTCCGCTGAAACCAACTTCAACGTCAATGCAATAGCCTTCGACGATGAGGAAGGTGACGAGAATGACGATGACTTCAAAGATGAGTCTAGCGAAGATAACCAGGCATGGCTGCTTAGGTCGAGCACTCGCTCAGGCAAAGGAGAAATCGTCTCTCGACGAGGCAACTCATGCTGACAATCAGCACATCCCCAGGGTGTCGGACACGCTGGGGGTGGCAACTCCATCACAAAGTCTGGCCGCATGTCATCGCACGGAAAAGGTCGCGGTATGACAGCTTCTAAAGGAGGCGTTCCCTTGGTTGGAAAGGGGCGGAGAAGGAGAAAGCACTACCCTGTCTCATGGGGTTGCCCCAAAGATCAGATGAAGATGAAGAAAAGAGTCTTGTGTGTGTATGATGGGTCACGTCGCCTCTGGAAGGATGACATGATGCTCGACAACGATTTTGAGGTCCGTATGCGTTTTGGGGATGGCGAGTCTTACGTGACCGATCTCGATGTCCAAACGGTCAAAAGGGCGGAGGCCCTGCACAACGCAACAGACGAAGAGAAAGGACCTCGGATCCAGGACGAATCGGAGATACAGCAATTAATGTCATGATAACCGTGTGCCTGTTGAGAGCTAGCGTGTACCAATACAGGATGACGAGTTTTGGAGCGATTGTCCATTTAGCGGGTTCATTTTCATTCGCGATGGATCATGGCAGCATATCATTAGCGACGATAGAGGGCTGTCATGAAGGCAGATTATGGAAAGGGAAATCAAGAAAGGAACAAGACATGTAAGGTAATGCGATGCTGGATTTGCTCTTTGGCTCTTCCGCGTGTACCCAACTTCTGAATTGTCTAGATACCTGCGAGGCTGCAATGCTGGACATTGCAGCACCTCTTAGCTACACCAAAAGTATTGAATACCTTCCTCACAGAATCCAGATTACACGATAGAGAATGTGATTGCGTTGAGCTTCATTGTGATTCTTGAGATCAGCCACAAAAGATAACCATGGAAGAATAGCTTCACTGGCGTGGCGCAAATAGCGCCGCTAGCCAAGCGTGACGGTCGCAACACCTCTTAGGTTGTGAGAAAAGACGTATACTGAGTCTGGGATCGACTTGTACGTTTCCTGCTCAGCGCAAGCTATGCATCAACGACAGGGAGGTTGCCTTAGTGCTCTACCACTTCTAGCACGGTTATTCCTCTTTGTCATGTCCATTTTCAAGCGCAACCGTCGTTTCATCCTCGCTCATGCCGGTATCGTCCCCGTCAATCTCAGAGTCGTCATGAAAGACGCTACCCTGCCGTTTCAGCTCTTCAACCACACTGGCTCGTCTGTCTTCCTTTTCCCGATGTGATCGCTCATCTTCACCCTCGGTCGACGGTTCTGCTGAGCTTCTCACCGCCTGACCATGCATGTGCATACTTTGTCGATCTCTTAAAACCATGCCTTCCCTATCCGCCTTACCAGAGCCTCCGAGTAAGAGACCTTCCTCAATAAGTCTTTCAATTTTTATACGATTTTCAATGAAGAGAAGCTTCGGAAAAGTAGATTGCTGGCCTACTAGAAGCATCCTGGCCAGCCTCTCAGGTGTTGGATCCGATAGAATGTACCAGAAGTCACTAATACGACTTCTAGGCCAGATAGTGATGGTACCACTGAATTGCTGTAACCATATCCCTGACCAATCCTGGCCCAGGGGCCGAGGTAGAAGCTCAAGGTGTTTAGAAATCTTGATGAATTTTTGGAGCTCCAGCTTGCTAATAGAGAATTTGGGGTCAGCAATCTTAAATATTTGATGGATAGGTGGTAATACTTGCGGAAATACGTACAGGTATGTCTCTACGGCGCTACCAAGATAACCACCTCGCCAGCCACGCCCTCTCCGGTGAGTGACTATAGAGGATTTCGACGTCAGCATGTACTGCTCTCTTTAGGCCAATGGTTCGAGTCGTGCGATATTGTTGGGGGATAAGTGGAATTTTGTGCTGAACGTTCGGGAAAAGACTATCCCAATTGTACATACCTGGTCGGCCGACCGCACCTCTAGAGGAGAAGAAAAATAGGTTTATGTGCGGGTTGACCTGAGAGACTACGGAAAAATTGACCCCAAAATGAAGATTTAGGGCTTTGAGAGGGATGTCAGTGCGAAGACTAAAGGATGTCAGTCCACGCTAGTGTATAGCGATGTGGGCTACGTACCTTCCATCCTTCCATTTGTGGCCGAAGGAATAGGGTGTCAAAGTACCATTAGGTTTCTTCATCATCAAAACAACAGGGTTGAGGATTCCTGGGACCGCGGCAGAAGCGAGCACAGCGGACCATATAACGCAGTCCGGGGCCGTGAGATAATTAGCAAGAATGGTAGGCGAATATGGGTCTGAAGGAACGCAGGACACGTTCAGGATGCGGCCAGTACGCTCATAAGCTTCCCGGAAGGTAGTGCTACCTCGTGCCCACCAACTGCAATGCCGAGCCCACTCAAGAGAGTCGAATCTCGCACCAGTGCGCCACCAACGAGGAGCCCAGGTGAGAAAAGTGTCTTCGCAAGCATTGATATGATACGCTAGAGCGGGAACTAGCAGCGACTGCAACTCGCGATCTGTCCGAGTAGCGAGTAATGCTGCAACTAAAGCTCCGCCTGAAGTTCCTGTTATGACATCCGGCAGCAACGAGGCATCGAGAAGAGCCCTTGCCACTCCGAAGTGGTACCATGCAAACGACGCTCCCCCGGAAAGACAGAAGGCTGTACGGCCAAAGTTTGTGTGGAGATGTTTTGCAAGCGAATATTTCTCAGACTGACTTAGCTGAGATGATTGAAGGAGATATTGCAGGGAAGAATGCAACTCATCGACGAACTCCTGAGCCAGGCTTTTTGTGCCATAGTACGTCTCGCTATAGAGCCTCGAATTCTCCACGCCCACGAAGTTGTTCTTGACGCAAGCCTCGACAAGACTCCTTAGCTTGTCGACAGCTTCCCTGGACAACTTACCTTTTATCTGTTCTTGGGATTTTGCCAGGGTTCTACCTACCTTGAGCTGTTCCTTCACCTCGTTGACTGTAGTGTGATCATAGTATGCGTAGTCGTCCGTCTGTTTCCACTGCTCGTTCCCCAGATGATCATCAAGTTCCTGAGCTGCGATACGCCAGTCCTGATATTTGGTCTTTGATCGGAGGTTATGCCGTAGCTTTTGCCGCTGACCTCTCCAGGTCACCATGCGCTCGTAGCCGTAAATATAGAGGCGTGTAATGAGGTAAGAGCAAGTAAGGAAAAGTATCCAGCCGGACACCACCAGCAGTAATGGCCATTTGAGTATACTGTAAACAAAGCCTTCTCTTGTCTCGTCTGTAGTTCTGCGAAGCTTTTTGCGTGGTCTAGCTCTTTTCCGCTTGACTCTTTGGTGCACCTAATTTTATGTTTTATTTCTAATTTTTGTTTCATTATAACAAGAAGAGAACTGAACTCACTGGTCGCCAGTCATTCAGTGCTACCACAGGCGACGTCTCTGGCGCATTCAAGGCCTTTGCAAATTCATCGATATCAGCTTTGTCAATGAATTCGGTATCGAAATCAGGAAGTGTAGAAGGATCGAAAGAAGTTCTCGGAAAGCCATATGTTGTGGGTTCTGGCATTGCGGTCGTTGGAGGATGGGTCAACCTTCGGAGACGAATTTCAAAGGGTCAGCACACTGCGACAATCCGTAGTTTGGATGCTTGTGAGACAGGCCCACAAGAATGAGTACAAATTGAACCGGATCGCATGTAAGGATCAGATGATAAAAACAAGAAAGAAACACCGAAATAAAACTGTTGAGGGAGCGCAGTCCCGCAGGAAACAGATACAATTACTCATGCGACCGAGAAGTACCTTACGGGCGTGCCTGCAAGCTCACACACCGTATTGAGATATGTAGTACTAATACTGTAAGTACTCGTGCCGTCCAGAAATGAGTTATCCGGCTAAAATTTTAGCGTCTTAGCACCCGCTCTACGGTGTGCCATATTGACAAAACGTTTTTTACCTTTTTTTTTGCCCTATTAAATCTACTCTATTAAATTTAAATATTCTATCTATATCTATTATAGTTAAAAATTATATACTTAATTAATTCTATATTACTATTAACTATATTCGTAATAATATGTAATTAATTAATTTATCTCTTATTTTATTTCTATAATATTAATTATAGAGCGACTTTTAAAAGATATAAAGTTATATAAAGAATTTATTCTAAGTCTTCTTAATTAAAGTATTAAATATAATAAGTAAAGGCCTATGAGTTAAATTTATAAAGTTGAATTTTTCTAAATTAAATAAAGTTAGATTTTTCTAAGTTAAATAGAATTTTAGTCTTAGCTCTAAGTTAAATTAAACTTTAATCGCTTACTATACGTTTTTAATCTACTTCTATTACTACGAAATTAATAAAAAAATAAAAGTCTTAACTCTAAGTAAGATTAAACTCTACTTACTTTCTATATAATAAATAATTTACTTCTATTATTATAAATCGTTAATTAATTACATTTTTATTTAAAAAAGAAGTATCTACTAAAAAATCTTATTTTTAATATATTTCGTTAATCGAGTAAGTTATCTTTTTAATAAATTATCTAAAACTATAATTAATAAATTAATCTTATTAATAATTTAATTTAGAGCTATATATAATTAGCTATAAATAAAGATCTCGAGATATAAATATAAGCTAATCTATTATAATAATTAACTCTAAAACTTATTAATTATTATATTAAAGATTAATCGAATTAGAAATTAGATATATCGAAAGAAAATATTTAAATTATTTAAATTAGACGAAGCCAGAGAAATATATAATATATAATATTATTTATTATTATATTCGCTTTTAAGAATATAATAATTAAGTATTTTAGATTTAATATATTTAATTTATAGATATATTCTATTATATAGATTTATATACTACTTTAAATTTCTTAATAATATTATTATATAATTCTATTTTAATTTTAAATAATAGAATAAAAATAAGACTAATTTAAAAATATTTATTATTTTAGTAAGTAGAAAAAAGCTATCTTTTTTATTAATAACTTAATTTCTATTATTATAAATAATTTTAATTTTAAGAAACTTATTAAATTAAGCGATATTCTTATTAAGAGTATAAAGAATTATCTTAAATATATAGAAATTAGCTATTCGATATAGATTAAAATTATTATAAATAGTATTAATTAGCTAAGTAATAAAGTTATCTAATAATTACTTAATAAATTAATTAATAACTTCTTATTCTTTAAAGCTTACTAAGATATTATTATTTATATTTAATAATCTCTAAGCGAATTCCTTTATATTAATTTAGTCTTAATTAATTAAATTAAGATTTCGAAGTTTTATATTTTCTATAAACTTAAGAATTTAAATATAATTTTAAAAATAAAATATTTTTAATATAATTTAAATAATTATATTTAATTTAATACTCTTAATAATTAGAAGAATTTAATAAAAGTTATTATAAAAGTATATAACTATATTATTAAAAGAAGTAAGATTCTTTTAAATATCTTAAAATATATAATTAATAGTTTAAATATTATAGCGATTTTA